CATCCAAAGAAAAAACTATGGAGTTTGAATGCAGATTGAAGCATATTATTTGCTGGTTTTTTTCTTCTGTTTTGTTTTGCTTCTTCTTTCTGGTGGTTCCTCTTATTGGTTTTAATTTTTCTTTACAACATGGCTAATGTGAAAATGTGTTTAATAGGGATGTATACGCAGAACCTATATCAGATTGCATGCCATTTTGGGGAGGGAGGGGGAAGTGAAGGGGAGAAAATTGAAAACTCAAAAGCTTATGGAAGTGATTATTGAAAACTAAAAATAAATTAATTAAAGAATAAAAAATTATAATAAAAAGAAGACTTTTCTAGGCTTGTTGGAGACTCTGCAGAAAGACACAGAGACAGAAGGGGCAGGATAAGGTGGGCATCCAAGGCGGCTGGAGGCCAGAGTCCATGAGTCCTGCCTACCGCACAGGTATACCTCACTTTATGGAGCCCTGAAATAGGAGGGGCAAGGCTTTGACATCAGCAGCGTGGGACAGATGAAAAGGGAGAAACAGATGATTTCATTAGCATGAGGCCTCCCTCTTCTGACATAGATCATGCCCCTTCCGCTCTGGAAACGTTCTGTGAATTTCTGTGGCCAAAAGAATTCCTCCCTGGAGGTGAGCCCATCTGCTCTCAAGCAGGCTGCTACTTGGACAATAACTGCTCCATGTGGCCCTATACACATAACTGCCAGTCCCTCGAGGACAGGGATGTTTTGCTTTTCTACCCCAAGGACCTAGCTCCTGGCTCATTGAAGATACTTAATCAATGTTTGCTGGTGTAATGGACCTAAGCAGATCACCCCAGTGGAGGAGGTAGAGGAACCTGATGTAGCAAGAGTGAGGATGGAGCGTAATGGAAACGGCCTGCAGGGACCTGGGCCTGCGTAGACATTCCCTGACTGGGCCTGGCCTGTGACCCACATGGTGAGGAGGAGCCTTGTTGATGGCCTGGGTATCTAGAACTGAGTGCTTCCAAAAGCAGCAGGGACCAGAGACTCGGGCATTTTCACCTTTTCTCTTGTTCATTCTCATTTTGACTCCTTTGATAACATTGCCGCAGTGAGACGCAGTACAGAGAGAGCCTTCGGTTTTCCCCACAGAGGCTGGTTCTTTGCCTGTCTCTGCTTTCGTTCTCCAGTTGTAGGTGAAGAAAGTGGGGGGTGGGGGGGACTTAGAGAATTTCAAAAAGTCAGAAGAGCAAGTCATTCAAATCCTTGACTTGGATTCTACACCAGGTTTTACAGCCAGCTAGCTCAGTATTTATGCCCCAAGGAGCAAGGAGTGACCTTTGGGACCTTCCTAAAGGTAGCTGAGGTGGAGACCCACCTGGCAGTCAGGAATCTGGGGGCGCCAACTCGATGTAGAAGCTGTCGGAAGAGTGAGCCCACTGTCCTTCCAGAGACCAAGATGGCACGGAGGGAGTGTGCCCCTGACGTGTTAGGGGCACATGGTTGTATTTTTCTTCCTGATATATCTTCAAAGCAAACATCTTTTTCCTTTTTTTCTGCTTCTATTAATTTATTTTGATTTATCAATAATCACTTCCATAAGCTTTTGAGTTCAAAACTTTTCTTCCCCCTCCCTGCCTCCCTCCCAAGGTGGCGCGCAATCAGATATAGGCTATACAAATACATTCCTATTAAACATGTTTTCACATGAGTCATGTTGTAAGGAAGAATTAGAACCAATGGGAGGAACCACAAGAAAGAGAAAACAAAACAAAACAGAAGAAAAAAAATAGCAAATCATATGCTTCAATCCGCACTCAAACTCCGTAGTTCTTTCTCTGGATGTGGATAGTATTTTCTAGCGTGAGACTTTTGGAGGTATCTTAGATCCTTGAATTGCCGAGAAGGGCTAAGTCTATCAACCTTAGTCATCACACAACATGGCTGTTACTGTGTACAACGTTCATATATCCTTTTCTAGAGATTAATTGATGTTAAGTGGTAAAAGAGAACCGGACTACTGATAATTGGCATCTGGAGGGGGAACACAGCCAGTGGGTTCAGAACCAGTGGCAAGAGGGAAGAGATATCCCTAAGCCTTCAGGATACCTAGCCCTAGTTCATCGAGGCTCATGTGGAGCCTGCCTGGCTCTGGGACATCCTACTCAACACACTTACTGGATGTAGAGTACCTGGCACATAACAAGCATAGAGTCAACTAGCATTTATTAAGTGCCTACTATGTTGCAGACATTCTGGGCATAGAAAGAATGGCAAAGATTGTCCCTGCTTTTGTGCAGCTCACAGCCTAATGAGGGAGTCAAACAAATGAGCTAAAAACCAGAGATAACTTCAAGAGGAAATCAGCAGCATTAAGGGCGATGGGGAAAAGCTTCCCATAGAAGGTGGGATTTTAGCTGGGACTTGAAGGAAGCCAGGAACCAAGGGGCAGAGCATTCCAGGCACTGGTAGCACAGCCAGAGAAAATGCCTGGAGAGGGGAGAGCCTTGGGGCAGGCAGACCCACCAGCAGCTAGTGCAATGTTCCAAGGATGAGGTGATGAGGTCCTGCACCAGGGTAGAGGAAACACCAGGGGAGAGAAGGGGGTGTGCACAAGAGGTGCTGAAGATAAAATCCATAGGATTTGACCACAGGTCAGATGTGAGGAGTGAGAGAGAGGGAGGAGTCCAGGATGACGCTGGAGCCTGGATACCTGGGAGGATGGCAGTGCCCTTGACAGAAATAGGGGAGTTAGGAAGAGTTGAGGGTTTGGGGGAGAGAGACAATGAGTTCAGTTATGCACATATTAAATCTGAGTTGTCTGTGGGATTAGAGGTGGAGAGATTAGGGCTGGATAAATAGATCTGAGAATCATCTCCATAGGCAGGCAGGCAATAAGCATTTATTAAGCACCTACTATATGCTAGGCACTGTGTTAAGCATTTATTAAGCACCTACTATATGCTAGGCACTGTGCTAAGTGCTGAGAATACAGATACAAGCAAAAAGAAAGACAGGCCTTCTCAAGGAGCTTACAATCTAATGAACATGGTTGAGTCTAGAAAGGATGGGTGAAATGGGATCCCAGGACACATGGAGGGCTTGGCCTTGGTGAGGAGGAAGGCTCATGTGAGACGTGGATGAAGGAGGTGGGGTGGGAGAGACCTGAGATGAGGCCTCCGGAATGGGCTCTGTTTTTTCCAGTAAAAGGAGGCAAAATTCTCAGCTGAGAGGGTGGGAGGAGAGGTTTGAAGGGAGATAAGAAGTTTAGAAAAATGGTGGCTGGTGGGATAATGAATGGATTATGGAGGTGGGGTTGACTCACCTTTGTCTTTGGATGCTTCAGGGCTGGGCGCATAAATCGTGCTTCTTAAATTTGTAGCTTCTTGAATTGTTAGGAAGTCATTGATCTCATCCGTAAGGATGGAGCCCGAGGATAATTCTCCTCCAGTAAAAGGAATTTCTTTTGTTAGGTAAGGACTCCTTTTCATTGAGTTAAATAAACAGAATCCCTTTTGTTTGCCCTGTGGCACATTTTGTATCAGTAATAAGGCAACTAGTGGGGTCAAGAAGACCACTATTGAAATCCTGCCTCTCTGCCACTGTGTGACCCTAGGCAAGTCACTTAACCTCTCTCTGCCTCCGTTTTCTCATGTTAAATGAGAGAGTGGCACTGCACCGCCTCTGAGGGCCCTTCCCCCTCCAGAGCTAGAATTCTATGTGAAAATATTCTAACCAAGTCCTTGACAGAATTTGATTCATTTTGTTTCAAGAAAAAAAGTATTTTAACCTCCAGAGGAAAAAGTAACAATCTTTCTGAATTATATGTGAGTTTTTAGGCCCCGAAGAATCAAAATTATTTATTATAATAATTCTTGTCCTTGAGCTGGTGTTTATAAGGCCCTGTTTTCATAGCCTTCGGCCTCTGAACAGCCTTGTGAGGAAACAGATAGGCAGGGCAGGTCCAGTTATCTCTGGCTTACAGAGACCCAAGCCTGGACTCTGAGTGGGAAAGAGACTTGGCCAAGGCCCCAGGGTTAGGAAGTCTGGGCATTAGGAGGGTCCCAACAACCTCAGGGGACTAATGGCCAGTGTAAATACTGAGTTCAGAACGCCAAATCCAGAAGACCCCAGTGAAATCCAGACCCTTCCCCTCTTCTCCACCTTGGGCCCTCTCCATCCTTCTATTTCTTCAAGGTCTGGTCAAACGATCCTTTCTACAGAAACCGGATCTCCCTACCCCATGTTGTTAATGTTCTTCACCTTATCTTGTTTGGACACATCAGTGTGGCAGCCTGGCTAATGGATACTGGCTGTGTGACCTTGCACAAGGACTCCTCCTCTCAGAGAAGGTGCCAACCTGCATTGGTGAAGGGAGTTTCCTCATCTGGGAATTCTCTATCCCAGTGAAATCACAGGGCCGGTCCTCATCCTTAATTCTAGCTATAACTGTGTCTGTTTCTGTCCGTTGTGACCCGGTGGAGATCCAGCAGAGAAGGTGGAGAAGGAGCCCTGAGATAAGTAGGAGGAGAATTGGAGAAATCAGGGTCGGAAAAGGCAACAAACATGCATTAAGCACCTACTATGTGCCAGGCACTGTGCTAAGAACTGGAGAGGGGAGGAAACAGCATTTATTAAGCACCTACTGTGTGCTGGGCACGGGGCTAAGTATGTTTTACAAATATTATCTCATTTGATGACTTTGAGAGGAGGAGGGACAGAGGTCGAGAACAACGCCTCGAGAAACAGAATTGAAGTGAAGTGAAGTGAATTGGAAGGAACGGCACGGCGGGGAGGGGGCGGGGCTGCGCTGCGGGCTCGCGGGACCTTGGGGAGGGGCAGGGGGAGGGAGTCGAGCTCCGGGAACAGCTGGGGGCGGGGCTGCGCCGGGCCCAGGGGGCGGGGAGGTGGAGCTGGGAAGAGCCCGCGTGGCTGGCGCGGGGCAGGGCGAGTGCGCGTGCGCGGCCAGTCAGCCTGCTGCGGGTCCCGGATGGGGAAGTGCGGACGACCATAGAGAAGCAGCAGCGGTGGCGGCGGCGGCGGCGAGAGCGGCCGGGCCCTCCCTCGCTCCCTCCCTCGCTCGGCTCAGGTAGTAGCTGCAGCCGCGGTAGGGGCGCCTCCGGGGTGGGGGAGGGGCCGGGGAGGCGACAGCGGGGGAATGGGGACAGGGGCCTTCGGCAGCGCGGGCCCGGGGAGGGGCCCCGACCATGTCGCGACAGGCGCCGCCATGTCGCGACAGGCGCGGAGGCCCGCGCGCCCGCTCATAAAGCGCGCTCGGCCTTTCGCCCTTTCGGGCTATGTCCCGACAGGGTCAACCCCAGGGCCCCCCATGTCGCGATAGCCCCCTTTCTCCTCCTCCCCCCCAAAAAACTCGCGGGGCCTATTAGGGATCTAAAGTGGAGCGGGGCTGGGAGTGGCCGCCCCTGACCCTGGCCTTGGACCTGGCCAAGAGCAAGGAGGGGAGCACTTGAGCGCCCCTCCCCCACAGAGCGGGCGCCCCACCCCCCACCCCACCCCGGGGAAGGACAGCTTCCTATCCCTGCCACTGTGCGGGATGCGCCCGTCCTGGAGACTCTCTCCCTTGTCCCAGAGAGAGCCCCCCAATTTCCCCCCTCCCCTCGCCCCCAGGTTGGGAGAGGGCCAAGCCCCAAGTTCCTCCCAGGGGGAGAGAGCTGCAGCATCCCCGACACTGAGCTCCTTTCCAAATTCCTTAAGTGAGGAGAGTGCCCTCCCACCCCCTTCTAAATCCCACAAAGAGAGAGTTTCCCTATCCCTGCCACTGGGCTCATTCCTAAACCCCCCAAGTGGGGAAAGTGACCTGCCTCAGAGAGACCTGCCAAGTCCCACAAAAAGAAAAGCCCCCTTCGTGCCCCCAAGACTGGAGAGGGTCCCCCCACCCGGAGAGAGCTTCCCCATCTGTACCAGAGATCTCCCTAAATACCCCAAGTAGGGGAAGATACCCCCCCTTCCCCTTAACAAATCTCTGCCCCACTTTAAAGGAGGACCACTCCCCTTCCCAAAGTTCTAAATTCTTCCTGTCCTTTAAGGTAGATAGAGCCCCTCCCCATTCCCCCTCTATGTGGTACAAGAATAGGGGAATAGGATCTGGTCCCGTTTCCCCTAGTTCCCCTCTCCCCAACCCAAAAGGAGCTAGTATAACTGCCCTCTCATCCATCCTAGTACCCAGCCCCCAGCCTGCTTCCAGCTTTCTGGCCTCATAGTGTGGGGGTGGGGAGTCCTATCTTATTTAATTCTAGAAGGGGGAAGTCCTCCATCACCAGGACTGCGTTTTCTCCCCCCACTCCCTCCTCTCAAGGGGACGCACCCTGAACCCCCATTCTGAGACAGGCTGACTGCCCTTGAGAGGGAAGATCTCAGCAGTCTCTTAAGAGGAAGGAACTGCCGACTTTACTCCTTGTGTAGAGAGACCTCAGCCTTCCTTGTCCTTCCCTTCCAGGCTGGGGGAAACAAACTGTTTCTTTCTTTTCTTTCTTTGTGAAAAGAAAGGGGTAACTGCCTTCTTTCTCTTCTTTCCCTCCCACCATACTTTCATTAAGAGAGGAGGGAGACCGATTCCCCAATTTCCTTTGGCTTTTCACTGTGAAAGGAGTGCTTGATTTGAAGTCAGGGCTGACCTTGGGCATATCACTTCTTTGGCCTCAGTTTCCTCTTCTGTAAAGTGAGGGGATTGGCCTAGGTAATCGGTAAGGTCCCTTCAAGCTCAAATCTAGGAACCTGTGATTCTGTGGATGGAGAAGGCCCAAATTTCTTTAAGCAGTCAAGAAAAAGAGACGTCCCCAATGGAAAGGGAGACTTCACTGGGCCATCTCCTTGTAGAGCAGAAAACCTCCCCCTCTCCCTTCTCCAGGAAAGATAGAGCTGTTCCCACAGGGAGGAAGAAACAAAGCTACCTCCCACCATGTTCCTACGGAGTCCCTACAACGTCCATTTGCATCCCTTGTACACCACTACCCTCCCATCTGTGCATTTTCATTCTTTTAGCCCCCTTTCTTCCTGGGGTGAAGCGGCAAGAGGGAGATGGGCCCTCTTGCTTGGAGTTTTCTAGAATATTCCTTGTGGAGAGATTGACCCTTGTGTTCCCGGCCCCCCTCGGTTGAAGTTTTCCTTCCCAAAGCCAAAGAAAGGCTCTTCTCCCAGTTCTGTTACTGGGGGCTCAGCTCTGTTCTCCCAGTTGGGTTGTCTGAAGCTTTGGGAAATAAAGTCTCGTTCTTGGAGGGGAGATGAAATGTGAATTTCTGAGGGCGGGTATGCTCTGTGAACATGCTCCTCAAACTGAGCATGGCAGGCAGCGTTCATCGTGGATAACTTTTCTTTTCAGTAAGACATGAATGAATGAGGTTAGACTTTTAGAAGACAGACATCCTGGGAATTATTACTTTGTATTGCTTTTTGTCCCTGTGCTACATGTCGTGATGTTTTGGGGGAGGATCTCAAGCACTGACCTGTTCCATACTTACATACAGTCGCAGTAAAAGTGGATGACGGCTTATTCTTGGTTTTCCAAGCTTTTAATAGGAACCATCAAAAGGGCTGCTTGTGCTTTAAGTAATCAATATTGGTTTGTTCTTTTTTTTTTTAAACTTCTTTCTCAGTGTACACCCCAGATAGGAAAGATCCAGGATATTAGGGGCCTTGGAGTCTAGTCCTCACCCCCAGCTGGCAGCAGGAAGTGAAGATCCATGTCCACTGAGGGGCATAGTGAACCCCAGAGCTGTCCTGATTGACCCTGAGCCTGGTGCTCTTGGCCCCATTCTAGAACACCTCCACATACAGAACATAATGAAGCAGCCTATCCTTTTCACCTAAAAAAGATGGGGAAGAATCTTGGGGATCATGGCAGGATCATTGTGAGGAAACCACCTTTTGAGACTTTAACCCTGGAAGGCCCTGAATTTAAGAATACATTGAAGAACTCTTTTCCTTCAAAGAACATTTTGTCGATTTTTTTAAACTGTAAGGCAAAGAAAATAGAGAAAGTAGGATGGAATTTTTTGTTTCAAAGTAAAATTGTAATATCTACTTGTAATTATTTGCATTAAAATGCATTCACATAGATAGGATAAATTATAGTAAATTTATAAAAATTGCCTCAATTGAGGCACCTGGTCGCTCTAGGATTTACTGCAAAATTCCTGTGAATATAATCTCTTTTTCCAGAGAGGATCCCCTGGTGTGGAAACTTCCTTTGGGTTTGCAGGTCAGCACCCTTGCTGACCACCCTTCAGAGAGTGGCTTGGGGCACTGCGAGGGAGCAGGCCCGTCCATAGGCGAAGCTCTGCCTCTGGTAGATTTAAAATGCACTCAGCTTTTTGGTAAGGAATCCATCATTAGCTCAGGGTTTGGACTGCTGACTGTGGAGGGGGTAGAAGAGGAGAGGAGATGGAAAGCAGTTTATTGGTGGCTGTACGGAAGAACAATTAGTAAATTTATGAATTTATGAATTTTCCTCTAGGTCTGGGTTGGGGTCTGTGAACTTGGTCTTCTAAAAAATATTTCAGTTGAATTGATTTCCTTCATAATCCTATGTATTTGATTTTGTGCATTTAATTTTTTTTTTTATTTTTAGGCAATTGGGGTTAAGTGACTTGCCCAGGGTCACACAGCTAGTAAATGTCAAGTGTTTAGTCTGAGGTCGGATTTGAACTCAGGTCCTCCTGACTTCAGGGCTAGTGCTGTATCCACTGCACCACCTAGCTGCCCTGATTTTGTGCATTTAAAAACATTCTGAGGAGTCCACAACATCAAGAGTTTATGAACCCTGCTCCAGATGTTTTCAGATAACAAGTTGATTGTGAGTCACGAGTTAGGATCACAGGTGGTTTACCTCATCTCTTGCTTTGGACCAGACGGCCAAGCTCAGCCAGTCTACAGGCATGTATTAGTAGGCCTGACCCTCTTTGTTCTCCAGGCACAGTGCTGCCCTCAGGGAGCTCCCATTCTAATTGAACACTTTCTAGTGGAAAGACCTATTTTATCAAGTCTGCTAGACCAGCTTTGCCTAAGATTTCCCCAGCGGAACTGAAGTGGAATGGAAGGACAGGTAGTAAGTTTGCTGATCATTTTTTTCATTGTTATCTTTTAGCTTGTCTGCCATTACAGTAGCTATACAAGGATAGAAATTCTTGCCAGTATTTTTTAAAGAGCAAAGCAGCACACCCTTGTAAAAATGGCTTGTGAGAGGCAACGTTCTCGGCTTGCTAGCTCATCAGATTTGTAACATTTCTTACCGTGGTCTCTGTAAAGCTAGATCTGTTTTTTTAAAAAAGGGGGGGGGTAAGAATTCCTGCCCTGCCAATATCACGAGGTTGTGATAATCTTTATACATCTTGGGCAAGGGTGAGCAAACTCCAGTGTGTTTTGTTCATAGGCCGGGTTCGGCCCCTGGGCCCGCTATTCCAGTGGTGACCTCTGTTCTTAGGGTGCTACAGAAATCCAAGCTTTCATTACTAAGCTCTCCTCCCCTGAAGTCCAAGGGAAGGACTCTGGCTTCTCAGAGGATGTGGTCTTGTAAGCTTTGGCAGGTGTACCCGAGATGGAAAGCCTTGGCCCTCAGCAAGGGTGCCTTATCCCCCATCCAAAGACCAGAGCCTTGTCAGCTCACCAGAACATGGCTTCTAGGGGGGTATTTTTAAATTTAAATAAATTTAATAAATAAATAAATTTAAATAGTGTGGTTTAAATAAAACCACAGGAATTCCTGTTATGATCAGATGAAAGTGGACAGATCCTCTGAACAGTAAAATGACCAGTTTTTGAAGGGTCATTTCACATGTGTTAAGTGGCCTAGCCTGGGGATGTTAGCATGTTAGGAGAGGAGATGCAGAGGTGCAGAGTTTAGATAAAACACGATTGGTCCTTACCCTCGTGGGGTTTCCAGTCTGATAGGCTGCACAGATAGCCATCAAGGAGACTATATTGGTAAAGGCGCTTGGCCCGATGCCAGGCACATAGTGAGTGCTTCATAAATGCTTCTCCCTTTCCAATAATACACAAGTAATACAAGATGAGGAACTTAAGAGAAGTGAGGTTGGAGGTGGAAAGGGGGCATTGAGAGAGTGTTCTTGTTCA